CAAAACTATCCATTTTCAAACCAGTTAGATCTTCAAAATTTCAGAATACAAATGGTTTAAAACTAATGGGACTTATTTCTTAGTTTGAATCTCATTAAATACAAAATCCCAAGGGTGCAAGCCAAAAGATCGTGGAGTCAATTGATCATAAAGACTACGTTTAAACAGTGGCGATCATGGGAGAAGAGCAACCGCCAAAAGTTATGTTCACTAGTGTAACCATTATGCTTACACTAGTGTGGCGCGTATTGTTGGCGCCACATTTAAACCATTCAATACGAATGCGAGCGAAGGCGACACGTGGCAAACAAATGGTATTCAGGTATCGAAGAGGCCTACCTTCGAAGCTGCCCACGTGAGTTATGAATGCAATTCTTCAACCGACAAATATGATAAGCAGCATATGAGAGGCACGTGAAAGAGAAGTTAATAAAGAGCAGTTACTAGCAGTTACACATGCACAAAGAGATGATTATGGCCCTAAGAAGTAACGAAATGGAAGGGGATTATGGTACAAGATAACAGCTTAACTGCTTCGAAGGCACCAACAGAAGGCTATAAAGAGATGAAAGCAAAGATTGAAGAGGCCTCCGACCAAATCCAGACTCTACGTCTTTATTAGTTTCATTTATTTTTAAAATTTTGCACTTTACTTTTATGCACTGTAATTATATTTCGTAGGAGTAGATTAGCCTTGTAATTCCAAAATCAGGTCGGTTTAAAAGCATCGAAGTTGTCCTTACTAAAGGTAATATTTTGTAATTATTTATTCAGTTAATCAATTGCGATTTCTGCTCCAGTCTCTCCCTCCCATTCTATTTCGAATTTGAGTTAAAGTTTTGGTTCATCTTTTCGTCAAAACACAATAAAGTCCTCTTTATTGAGGTTAAGAGAATCTTAGCACAATCGCTTGATAAAAATAGACATTTATTATCTGTAAGGACTTTTCAGATCCTTACTAGCACGCTTGAATAACATTTTTAGATTTTGAAGTGTGAAAAATAACCAATAGTTACGAATTATAATTTTTTATTTTTTTTTCATAACTTTGAATTTAAAAAATATTAAAATATACACAATTTGCAGAGCAAGATACGGTGAAGGTAGAAGGGACTCAGGGGTAGGGGGCTGTAAAATATACGCAATTTATCTTAGGTTTTGCTTTGTACATTGAATTTTCATCAATAAAATTTTACATTTTGCTAATAAATAAATAAATAAAGAAAAAAGAAAAGAAAAGGAAGCAGTAGAAGACAGCAATGATGGGCTAATTAAATATAAGGGTAAATTACTTTTTGTCTTCTTTATATTTGGTTATTTTCTTATTTTGGAATTTAAAACAACAATGATTCATCCCCCTTTTCCTCTCACCCCCTTTGACCTCCTCTCTCTCTCATTGGTTACATTTTCTTTTTCTTTTTATTTTTTTTCCTGCTCCTCCAATCACCACCCGCTACGTGGCAAAGGGGGTGAGGGGGTAACCCCCAAAAGAGGGTCCCAAGCATTATTCTAAATAATAATGTCACGTTAACTATCACATAATATAAATAATATATTATATTAGAGTTTTAGTTTGTGTCAGATGTGTGAATTATATATAATAACATATTTTTATATCACATGACTGTCAATGTGATATTTTTTTATCTAATTTTGAACAAACGAACTTTGAAAGTATACTGAGAAACACTTAAAACTTGAAGAGTGAAAACGGGCAACGTGTAATTTACTCTAAATATAATATGGTGATGGTTGGGAGGGATTGTGATTATGTGTGGTTAAGGTAAAATTGGGGATATAAAGTTAGATGAGCCAATGACTAATTGATAGGACTGACTGTGATTATGTGTCGTTAAGGTAAAATTGAGATTGATATAAAGTTAGATAAGCCAATGAAATAGTGCCACATGTTGTAAAATAAAAAATCGGAATGAATTTATAAATACTGAATATAAATATCAATATATACTATTATAATCACCACTGTCACCATACCATCACTACCACCATTGCAATATCAAAATTGAAATATACAATTTAAAAATAATAATTTTTAAATTTGATTTTATACATATCAAATAACTTATTTTTTAGTTCAGCACTTACATTTTTATCAAACAACTTTTCAGTTTAAAAAATTCAGCACTTAGTTTTCAATACTTGTTTTTCAGTTTCTGATTTTCAATTTTCCAACACCACCTTAGACCCTTTCTTAATAATTGAGGTTTTTATTTTTTGTGTTTTTTTTAGTGATTTTTTTTTTATTTTTTATTTTTAAACTTTTTTAGATGTACGTAAAAAGTAAAAATCTGTAAAAAAATATATTAAAAAATCAATAAATACATAAAAATACAAAAGTTTTCAATTTTCTTTTTGTATTTAATGAATTTTTTAATGATTTTTTTTCATAAATATTATACTTTTTAAATGTATTTAAATTAGATGTACTTAAAAAAAATTACATAAAATATTTTAAAAAGTTCACTAAAAGTAAAAAAATACAAAAATTAAAAACTTAATTATCAAAAAAAAACAAACAAGGTATAATTCCAATTCCAATGGTATGTAAGAGCACCCACAAGTAGATGTGTTAAAAATGTGTGTTAAAGTATGTGTTATATGACAAAAAATGATAAAAGTGGGACATAAAAATGTATGTTAAGGTGTGTTAAGAGTTTGTTAATTTTAGAGAGTGAGTGGTGGTGCAATGGATGCGTTAAGATGTGTATTAAGAATATATACATATATATATATATATATATAATAAATAAAATAAAGATTGCGCATCTGTGATAGAGAGAGAGAGAGAGAGAGAGAAGAAAAAGAAGAAAAAGATAGAACAAGCAGAGAAAGAGTTGGAAATATTGGAAGCACAGCACCCAAATAGGTATGAATACCTAAAAATTGAGCTCATATCCTTAATCTTTCTTCTTCACTCCCAAAAAAAATTGGAAATCTGGGAGAGCAAAGAAAAGAAATAAAATCTCGGAGAGCAGAAGAACAACCCAGCAAAACAGATCAAGGGTCCAGACATGAGGAAGAAGAAGCATAGGAAGAACAAATCCCCCAAGCAAGCTGTGGCTATGTGTCACACACCAACAGTGCGGAAGCCTCGTCAAGAGATAAGCAAGTGTGTGTGGCGCTAGTTAATTCTCTTCACTAGCCTGCCAATAATGCTCAAAGTGTTTGCAAAGACAAGCAACCACGATATAAGTTAGTTTATGAGCCACTAGGTTGGAGACAAGCAACAAATTTAACAAGCAACAAGCTAAATTTAAAGCAAGCAACACTAGAAAAGCTCTGCACAATTTAAAGGCGAAATGAACTTTTCATTGATCAGAAGAAGGCATTACAACAGTTGAACAATGCACCAAAAGTGCTACAAAAGTTGCCTTACCATTAGCTAGGTTGGAGTACTTTAAAGGCACAAGTGGTTTGGTTCAACACTTAGTACCCCCTTCTTAATATAGCTTGTTAAGCCTTTTCCTAACTAGTAAGAAGAAACATACTCTACATATATATCTATATTGAGTTTAATAACTACAATACTGTTTTTCAATCGGTTTTACTTAACAAAAATAGGCAAATAGTTTAGATTGAAAATAAATAAAAAAATTATAATTTAAATTGATAAAATTAAAAAATTTGGATTTATTTTGTTAGAAAACTCTAACCATGGGTTTTTTTTTTTTTTTTTTTTTATTTTAATTGTCCCTAAAATATAATATTCTTCAACTGATTAACTTGCACAAAAAATATATATATTCAAAGCAATGGTATCGTGAAAAATGTTCTTGTATTAGAGATCATACACTTTCACTAGCTTAACGCCCCCTACTCCACCTAATAGTCATGTCCATGAAGAGGCTTTACATTGCTTCCCTTCTGGGAGCTCTGGTAGTGCACTCATGCATGCTTGAGTTGGCCATTTGTGCCTCGAACTACACTGATCAATTAGCTCTCCTAGCCTTCAAGTCCTCAATCAACTTTGATCCCAACAATGTTTTGAGCAATTGGACCAAAGAAACCAACTTCTGTGATTGGGTTGGGATCTTATGTAGCCGACGAAGGCAAAGAGTCACAAGTTTGCGCCTTCGCAACACGGGTCTCCGAGGCACCATATCTCCTCATGTTAGAAACCTTTCCTTCCTCCAAGTGCTCGATATTCGCAACAACAGCTTTCATGGTCATTTGACAGTTGAATTTGAACGTTTGCGTCGTTTGAGAAAGCTCATAGTACAACATAACATGTTGGAAGGAAGCATCCCTGTGGAGTTACACCGGTGTCAGAATCTTCAAGTTATATCTCTTGAAGGAAATAATTTTAGTGGCAACATACCAAAAGATTTGGGTACACTACCCTTTCTGCGTATTCTGTATCTCGGGCGAAACAACCTACAAGGTACCATTCCACCTTTCTTTGGCAACACTACTAGCTTGAAAGAGTTTGGAGTAGAATCTAACAACATTTATGGAAACATTCCAATAGAACTATCACTACTTCCAAATCTAAGTGGATTATACTGTCAATACAATCATCTCACGGGTTCAATACCTCGTGCAATTTTTAACAAGTCTTCACTGATTTTAATTAGCCTGAATATGAATGCCTTTTCTGGAAATCTTCCAACCACTACAGGGCTATGGCTTCCTAATCTTGAAATCCTTGGCTTAACAGACAATCTATTAGTTGGAGAAATCCCTTCATATTTATCCAATTCTACTAAGCTTACTTGGTTACTTCTACCTCGTAACTTATTCACTGGACCAATACCCAAAAGTTTAGGCAATCTAAATCTAATTGAAAGGCTGAAATTGGAAGGCAATCAACTAACAACTGAACCAGGAAGTACCCAACTTAGTTTTATCACAGCTTTGACAAACTGCACTTCCTTGCAAAAATTGTTCGTAGGAGAAAATAAATTTAGTGCACAATACCCAATTCTATTGGGAATTTTTCGATGTCCTTGCAAGTGCTTGATGTATCCGAATGCCAATTAATGGGTCAAATTCCCAAAGAGATTGGTTCTTTGAGAAATTTGAATGAACTTTTGTTAGCGGGAAGCAATCTGAATGGGAACATCCCTTCAACTATTGGAGGAATAGAGAGACTTCAAAGATTACATTTGAGTGCTAACAACTTTCACGGATCGATTCCAAGTGAGATTTGCCTTCTGAGAAACTTGGGAGAAATTTATCTCCAGGAAAATAAGCTTTCTGGATCAATTCCGAGTTGCATAACAAAGCTTAGTAGTTTGCAAGTGATGGACATTAGTTCCAACAAACTGACCTTAATACCCTCGAGTTTATGGAACCTTGAAAATCTGAGGCTCTTGAATTTATCATTCAATTCATTAAATGGAAGCCTAGATCCACACAAAGCCCTTGAAGTATTGGAAAGCATGGATTTATCTTGGAATCAAATCTCAGGAAACATACCAAGAATTATTGGGTCCTTCCAAAGACTAGCTTCTCTGAACCTATCAAGGAATTCATTCTCAGGACCCATTCCAAACTCAATAGGAAATTTGGTAGCATTAGATTTCTTGGATCTTTCTCTCAACAATTTGTCTGGACCAATACCCAAGTCTCTCGACGCACTTTCACATCTCAAATTCTTAAATTTATCTTGCAATAAGCTATTAGGGGAGATTCCAAGCAAAGGACCTTTCACAAATCTCACAGCACTTTCTTTCATAGGGAACGAAGAACTTTGTGGCGACCCGATTTTGCAAGTACAACCTTGCCCAAACCAAAGTTCCCAAAGGTTGAGGGCAAAAGATGTTGTGCTTCGATACATTGTTCCCGCCATTGCATTGCTAGTAATATTTTCTTCTCTTCTATGGATTGTGAAAAGGCATCACAGAAAGAATGTTCGTAGTCAGCATTCAAATGATTTATTGGCAACAATAAAGCACAAAAAGATTTCATATCAGGAGCTCCAGAGAGCAACAACTAACTTCTGTGAAGCCAACTTGCTTGGAGTAGGAAGCTATGGTTCTGTGTACAAAGGCATACTGTCAGATGGGACAATCGTCGCTATTAAAATTCTAAACTTGCAAGTTGAGGGAGCTTTTAGAAGTTTCGATACAGAGTGTGAAGTATTGCGAACAATGCGTCATAGAAATCTTGTTAGAGTCATAACTACATGCTCAAATCCTGAGTTAAGAGCTTTGGTTTTGCAATACATGTCTAATGGAAGCCTTGATAAGTGGTTGTATTCTAATAACTATTGTCTTAATCTCTTTCAAAGGGTAAGTATCATGATATATGTGGCATTAGCTTTGGAATATCTCCATGATGGTCAATCAGAGCCTGTGGTTCACTGTGATTTGAAACCTAGCAATGTCCTTCTAGACGAAGATATTATTGCACATGTTGCTGACTTCAGTATTGCAAAAATTTTAGCCGAAAACAAGACTGCCGCACAAACCAACACTTTAGGCACACTTGGCTACATTGCACCAGGTAAATGTTTTAATCACTTTTATTTTATTTTTCCTTTGGTATATACATAGATATGTTTCTTTAAATTTTTTTTGACAGAGTGCGGCTTTGAAGGAAGAGTGTCGACAAGCGGTGATATATATAGTTATGGGATAATGCTTTTGGAGACATTTACAAGAAAGAAACCGACAGATGAAATGTTCACCGAAGAGATGAGTTTAAGGCAATGGGTGAGCACATTGCTTCCGGATGAAGTTATGGAAGTAGTGGATAGTGGATTATTGAGGACACAAAATGCAGGAGACATGGTTGCTACCCAAAGCAATCTTATTGCTATTTTGGAGTTGGGTTTGGAGTGTTGCAGAGAATTAGTAGCAGAGAGAATTCAAATTAAAGAAGTACTAGGCAAGTTGAACAAGATCAAAAGGCAACTCCTTCAAAAGCAAAGTGTTTGACAGGTGTGTTTTTGTCTGTGCATACTGGTGTCTCTATGTATGTGTTATCTTCTGAAGCACTTGGTTTGGTTAGTGCTTTGTTTCAATTGTTCTATCTCACTCTTGTGACTGGGTTGGCATTTTCAAGGATATTGTGTTATTTGGCTCTTGGATCTCTCTATGTATGTGTATCATTTATTTTTTCTGCAATGTCATACAAATTTGCTTGTCTCTTATTATATTAAGAATAACATAATCTTAACAAATTTGCTATCACGTTGGACCTCCAAAATTAGTACAAAATCAGGGCCTCCAAATATTTTCAACACTCATACACGACCAAAATTAAAATATTTCAGCAACTAAAGAAAGAAATGAGGGCCCACTACCAATACATCAACAGCACTACATAATACAATATTGTTTGTCAGTTAGTGCTTTGCCCTTAAACAATATAGAGAAATCCCCTTAGAGCTATGGCTGTTAAATGAGACAAGTTATTTGAACTATTGAGATTGGTATATAAATAAGTTAAGTTTGTACATAATTTTAAGTTCATTTTTAAGTCAAGTTTGAACAATTTACTACTAGTATTAGTACTCGACTCAATAAACTTATATACACTATAAACAATCAAATTACTCGAGCTTAACACATGTTTAGCTCGTTAAATGCTTGCTTGAGATCAACTCATTATATAGACAAGTCAAATTTGAATATATTTTGAAACTCGTTAATTAAGTTTTTAAGTTAAATTTGAACAACCTACTTGTCTGTTCGACTCAACTCATTTACAACTCTAGTTGTAGCCCTAACCATTGTGTAACTCAACTTTTATGATTCTTGGTCCTTCAAAGATTTTCATTTACGGTAAATAAAATATATTCAGTCCTTAGAATAAGATTTTTTATTTGAGATTTGTGACTTTCCGATTTTATTTTCTGATGTGAATTTACCCATTTGATCTTATTTGTAATTTCATATTTGATTAGATTTCATCTTGATAATGAAGAATTTAAAGATTTTGTCATTTTTGTTGTTGTGTTGTGTATCGTAAACTAAATTTTACTAAACTACGAAGTAACAAAATTAGATTTTATCTTTTTAATTTTTTCTTCAGATTTTAGTAATTATATTCAACAAACTTTGTGTGGATATTAGGTAAAAAAAAAAAAGAGTAGTTATTCCATTAATAAACCTTGTTTTTTTTTTTTTTTTTGGGTATGAGATATAAAAGACCATAACTTGAAAGTTCACTTTTTGGCACAAAAAGTTTTTTTTTGGGTATGAGATATAAAAGACCATAACTTGAAAGTTCAATTTTTGGCACAAAAAGTTGAGGGGCATTGTTCTTTTGAATTAGAGATAATGAACCTGTTTGGTAGGGGTTATTTCTAGTTTATTTTAATTTTTAGTTTAATTTAATCTATTTTGATGTGTTTGATTCAGTTTAACAATATAACTTATAGCTTTTTGTAAGTCAAAAATTAATTTATTCTTTAAGTGGGGGAGGAGAAGTTTAATTTATAAGTCAAAAATCAGCTATGTTCACAGCTATAAGTTATAAACTGTTAGGCTATAAGTTATAATCACTTTTGCACAGCTCTACTAAACAGGGCCAATATATGAGTCTTTATACGGGGGCTATAAAATTTGAAAAAAAAAATGTAATTTTTTTTTTATTTTATCGAAGCTAACATCGATAATAAAAATTTACTCTCACAGTTAAAATTTTATTTTGTTTGAGTTTTGTTTGGTGACAATCTATTTTTAAATGACAATAGAGGTTTATTTTGGCCAAAACTTCCTTGTTTATTAACAATTATAGTGACTATGGTGTTTAGTAATGATGATGGCGTTTTACTATTTAAAAGTTAAAATTTTAAAATAAAATTTACTATGAATTAGAGTAAAATTTTATTATTGACATTAATTTCGACGATAAAAACCTTATTTTATTTTTCAAAATAATTTCATAGCCAAATAAATCTTATTTGATAGATACTAATGATAAGATTTTAAAAATACTAATTTTATTGAAAAACGACATTTAAATCAAAAGTTATATTATTTTAAAATTTAAAATATTAAATTACTCACTAAAAATATTTTGATAATAGTGATGGGTGCTAAACTTTTGAAGGAAAATTTTTTATACTTGCCTTTAATGCATGAGAGTGATTTGACCAAATTCATCTATTTTTATCTCTATCGATCTATAAATATCATTGAATCATGTATAGGAACAGCCTTAAAATTAGCCCTTACGTAAAAATCTTGAATCCGCCCTTGATTATCACTCAACTTACAACCATTGTCATGAATTCACACGATTGTTCTTAAGGATGCAATTGCCATTTATGTCAAATGTTTTACAAGGAGCGTCAAGCTGCAAGTAAGTTTTTTTTTGTTTAATCGGCAAACACAAGAAAATTTTATTGATATAAAGTAGAGCATGAGGAGTACACACAAAACACTAAGGCCAAGTTTGGCAAATTGAAAAAAAGTCAAAAAGTTAAAAAGTTATCACTATTCACTTAAAGTCAAAACGTACGGCTGCACAACTCTCAATACTAATTTTCCTCCACACACTAAATTATACAATTTTTAATACACATTTTTTCATAAAAAGTCAAAAAATTAACACAAATAATCATATTTTTTTCCTCAACTTTTTCGTTCAAAAAATTAAAAAGTACACTTATTTAGGACATACCAAACAACCCCTAAATTGGCACATGTATGAAAGCCTATTAAATGCTAAGTCAAAGTTCCGCAACAGCTGCTACTCTTAACTAAAAAAAAAAACATAAGCATCAAACCACTGCTATTAACTACTTTTAACCTGGCTGCTCTTTTTCATATTTATTTATTTAGTTTTATTTTTGTCAATGAATAGAAATATTTATAATATCAAGAGAATTATAACCGGACAATCATAATTTTAACAAATAAAATATATAAGTCTAACAATCAATTCAAGAAAAAGTAGTACAACATATAAGAGTTTTAAACACCAAATATTTTGGTGTCTAAAAGTAAAAAATTTGTTGCAAAAGATATTTAGGAATCAATTTCTATTACCATGAAGATACTCGTTAAAAGGTCGTCCTGAAAAATAAAAAATAAGACTTTTAGCGACAAAATTTAAAAAATGTTACTAATAAATAGACATTTATGGAGAAAATAATTTGGTTTCAAAATAATTTATTTTTTGAGACAAAAAATTTGGTCCCAAAAGGATAATAATTCATCACTAATGTCTAATTTTCGTTGCTAAAAATATAATGACAACATTTTTTGCAACAAAAATATTTGGTCCCTAAAAAATAATTTTGTCCCCAAATTTTAGTATCTAAAATCTTAATTTTTTTGTAGTGAAGGTTGAAAAGAAAATAATCGATACAAGAAAACTCTCTAATAAAATATAATATGAAGAGAATTATAACTGGACCATCATTATTCCAACAAATAAAATATGTAATCCCAACAATCAGCCTAAGAAAAAGATTGGAAAAAAAATAACCAATACAAAAAGGCTCCCTAATACGGAAGAAACTAATTAATCTTTTCATTCAATAGAAGTGTAGTGACCAATTGAATTAGCCCAACAATTTAAATTTATATCAATTACCTAGCATATATTTTGAGCATTCTGTCCCATTTGTTCTGCCTCATCTTTGTATATCTTAAGTTTATTTAACCTTAAAATGCAATAAATTCACGTAGTGATAATTAACAAAATTGTTTGTGAATGTTACCAAGTATTTTTTTACCATAAAACGTCACTATTTACTAATATTTTAACAAAGTAGCGATTCTTTTTCGATTTTTAATATGTTTGGTTATTCAGTTTTCAAAATTAGATTTTGCGTTTTTAATTTGTATTTTTTTATTTTGATGAATTTTTTTTAATATTTTGGTCTTTTTTTTTTTTAAATAGATGCATCTAATCTAGATGTACTCAAAAAGTGAAATATTTGTGAAGAAATCATCAAAAAATTCAATAAATACTACAAAATATAAAAAAATATAAAAATTCAGTATATTTTTCTTTTTATTTATTCAATTTTTTAAAGACTTTTTCATAAATATTTTACATTTTCAGTACATCTAGATTTAGATGCATCTAAAAGATAAAAATAAAAAAATTTAACCAAAGTATTAAAAAAATTCATTAAAAATAAAAAAAAATACTAAATAAAAACTCAAAATCTAATTTTAAAAACTGAATAACCAAACAAATTTTAATTTTGGTTTTTGCACATTGGCGATTTCGTAAACATTTCGGTTAGCACCGGGTTAAAGTTATTTAGTTGGTCAAATTGGTTGGGCATCTTTTTGGCCAACATATAAAAGATAATACACTTTTTTTCAAAGGCATCTTTTTTTATTAGCCCTTGACATATAATAGGACTCATTAAATCAGTATTGAGTGTCTAGCCCAAAAAAAAAAACTCATTAAATTAATATTGAGTGGCTAAAAAAAAAAAAAAAAATCAATATAGAGTGACACAAGCATATAAGACATAATGGGAAAATTAGTGAAATATTTCTTTCCAACTTTTCATAGACATAATATGTTTTTTTTATTAGTTAAGTTCTCTTGATCAAATTTCTTTATGACCAAATTAAAAAAATTTTGAAATTTCTCTGATTAATTTCTTTGTGAAAATTGAAATTTTTCGGTGTCGAGGCGAAATTTCTCTGTGTCAATTTTTTTCTGTGAAAATGTTGAGGGACACCAATTACTATAAAAATATTGTGTGTCTTTTATCTTAAAAAATCTTAATATTAGGGACTTTAAAAAAAATTCTCCATACATAATTGTATTTTTCATAACATTACTATTTGGTTAATAGTTCCAAATCTATTTGCAGTAATAATGTAGTGAGAAATGAGAAATAGTAACAATCGTAAAATCAGTTGATCCAATCAAGAATATTGGAAGTAAAATTTTTCTCTAAACTTGTTGATTCATGAAAAATATCAAAAATAAAAACTCAACAATGATTAATTTTCAAAATAATACTTAAAATTGGAACAGAGAGTATAAAAAATAAAAACTCAACAATGATTAATTTTCAAAATAATACTTAAAATTGGAACAGAGAGTATAACAAAACTGAAGACCCTAAAGCCTACAACTAATATTTATAAGTAAAAGGAAACATTACCTACTAAGAAACAATTAGAATTAGCAATTTTGTAATGAGCAAAGCAAAAATAAGAAAATATAACGAAAATTACCAAAAATAATAATATTACAATAAAATAAAAAACTACTAATATATGGTGATACCATAATTACAAAATTGATGAAATCGAATTCCAAAGTGTACGTTAAGAGTAAGTTGCAAATCTTTCTAAAAACGACA